TAAGCTGGGTGTATCACTCTATACACACAGCTAAGGTCACAGTCCTCCCGTTGTTCATCGATTTGCTTGAGCGGGCCCAGTAACGTCTCCATCATGAGACTTGTTGTTACTGTGTTTGGCATATCGAATACGTCACGGGTGGCTTGCCAGGCTCTGCCGTGCGGGCGAGATACTCTCGGTAGCTTGCCGGGCTCTCCGAGAGGGGCAGAGGAATCGAACTGGGGTCGGCCATGTTGGCTGCGTGCAAGGCAAATGCCCTGCCGCTGTGCTATCGCTCCAGCCCTCAACTAAGGTTAAAAAAAAAAAATTCCGTTGAATGAAAATAATAAAAAAAAAATAAACAAAATACAGCCCTGTGGGGGCACACTGTGGTTGAGGGTGTGAACTGGAACACTGCAAACATGAAAAAAAAAATCCTGCCATTAACATTATTGTAAATCATAGTACCTAAAATTAGAGAAAGAGACTGCAAAAAAAAAAAAGATTCTCCATACATAAATCTGAAAGATTTATATAGAGACTAATTAAAAAACACTTGTAACCCAATAATGCGAAAAAATAATTCTTTTAGAGGGTAAAGAGATAATAGTGTGGACAAGATACTGGCCTTCTACACAGTCAACCCAGGTACCATCTCCAGCAGCCCACAGGGTCATCCCGCACCAACAAGAGTATCCCTGAGTGCAGAGTCGAGAGTCAGCTCTGGAGCTTTACTAGACGTAGGCTCCAAATCCCCCCAAATTCTTAAAATATAAAATTCAGAAACTGAGAGATAATTATGTGAAATACAAGCAATCCACCACAAAGGAACAAACCGGCAAAGCACAAAAATTACGTTTTCATTAGCACTGTAGCACTGTCCTCCTGTTGTTTTACGATTTGCTCGTGTGGACACCAGTAACGTCTCCATTGTGAGACTTGTTGTGACTGTTTTTGGCATATTGAATACGCCACGGGGCGCTTGCCAGGCTCTGCCCTGCGGGTGGGATACTCTCAGCAGCTTGCCGGGCTCTCCGAGAGGGGCAGAGGAATCGAACCCGGGTCGGCCTCTCGTGCAAGGCAAACGCCCTACCCGCTGTGCTATCGCTCCAGCCCAAAAGTGGTAACTAGAGCAAAATGAGATCTCCGCTGGCCAGCAGAACTGGCAGGCTGGGTCAGTGACATTCACGAGCACCACTGAGGTAGTGCTCATGAGAGATAGCCAGGTGGTAACCCCAGTTCCTCCTTTTCAGGAAAGAAGTGGAGGTTCATTCTTTAGACATGTTCTCGATGGTCCTATGCTCCTTCACGGCCTTCTCCCAATTGCTGCCATTGAATTCCTCAATGACTACACTCCACACGGTGCCCTCATCCAATTCCGAAGCCTCCAGGGTTTGAGAGAGCAGTGTAAAAGCTCTGAACACCACCTTTCTTACAGAAGGTGTGCTGTGCTTTGTGTGTATTTTACGTGGATGTGGTTAAGCTGTCGGCTCCCTTCAGGAGTTGGAAGCGAGAAGCTGGAACCATGAAGTGTCTATTCTGCTGCTTCTTGCAAATGCTGCAGTTGCTGTCAAAGATGTTGCAAGTAAACTGACGATGCCCAAACTTCAAAACGAACTGCTCCACGGGGGCAGCCTCCTGTGTTGTTTCACAAGACCCTGATAGTCATAGGTATCCAGCAGAAGCGTGGCGGTGCCCTCAAACGTGAGCCGCTGAGGCTTTTTATTTATTTATTTATTTATTTTGCTTTTTGGGTCACACCCGGCAATGCACAGGGGTTACTCTGCACTCAGGAGTTACTCCTGGCGGCACTCAAGGGACCCTATGGGATGCTGGAATTGAACCCGGGTCGGACGCGTGCAAGGCAAAAGCCCTACCCACTGTGCTATCTCTCCAGCCCCCGCTGAGGCTTCTTGCAGTTTGTTGTTTTTTACTCATTGCCATGCTTGGGTTCAGAGTTCCTTCCTGCCATGTTTCTGCCATTACTTCTGTTAGTAACTGCTGTCTCCTCCTTTGGGGATTGAGGCAGCCAAAAGGTGTCCGAGGTGCTCTGCCCAGGTTTTAATTTTTTTTTTATTTATTTATTTTAGTTTTTAAAATTTTTGTGAGACACCATGAGGTACAGTTATAGACTTACAAATTTTTGTGCTTGGGTTTTAATTATACAATGATCAAATACCCATCCCTCCACCAGTGCCCATTTCCCACCACCACGGATCCCAGTATCCCTCCCACCCCCATCCCCCCATCCCACCCTGCCTCTGTGGCAGGGCATTCCCTTTTGCTCTCTCTCTCCTTTTGGGTGCTGTGGTTTGCAAAAGAGGCATTGAGTGGTAATCATGTTTGGTCTATAGTTCAGCATGCTTCTCCCATCCTGGGAGGATCCTCCCAACACCCTTTTATTCGGTGCTCCCTTCTCTATCTGAGCTGCCTTTTCCCCTAACATGTGCGTCTGTCCAGGTTTTTAATGCTCTGCCCAAGTTTCCTTTCAGAAAGTTCCCATCGCCCTTGTCAAAGCTCCTTTATGACATCTTTGGCTATGCCTAAGCCACTATCACTCTTTCTGCTTCCCATATTTTGTGTGTTGACTCTAAAATTCCTTTCAGTCTTTTCACCCTGTGTCTTTTGCTCAGTTTCTGCATAAGTGGAATAACTGCCTTGGATGTTTTCTATAATCCAATCCAAACTCTTTGACACTGGGGGGACTGGAGCGATAGCAGAGTGGGTAGTGAGTTTGCCTTGCATGTGGACGACCCAGGTTCAATTCCCAGCATCCCATATGGTTCCCTGAGCATCACCAGGAGTAATTCCTGAGGGCAGAGCCAGGAGTAATACCTGTGCATTGCCAGGTGTGACCCAAAAAGAAAACAAACAAACTACTCTTGGGGATATATCAAGGTTGTGGAACATTCTGATCCTTTGGAGTCTTCCTTTCACCTCACCGTTTATCAGGTGAGGCCAGGATAGTGCTTACTGTAGGACTGACTAGTCCCCAATACTGAGCATGAAGCAAACTGCTGTCTGTCTTCCCCAGGATCCAGAAGTCAGGCCATTCCTGGCGAGCGTGCTGGGAACCCGCAGAATGCCCAGACTTGTGTGTGTGTTTGGAGGACCATGACTTCCCATTTGTGGATGAGTTCTGAGACGTGGCTGCTGGCTGGTACTGAGGTGCAGCCTGGCTGCGCCCTCTGCACACCTGCCGCGCTTCCTCTCTGTGCCAAACGGACCAGTCTCCTGCCAAGTTCTGCTACTCTGGACTCTAGTACTTGGCTCGGTGCCCACTGCTCTGCATGAGTCTGAGATGTCTCTCCAGGGTACAACCTTGACCGTTTCCATTTCATAGGTGGATGGGTATGTGTGTATGTGTGTGTGTGTGTCTGAGATATCTCTCCAGGGTACAACCTTGACCGTTTCCATCTCATAGGTGGATGTGCGTGTGTGTGTGTGTGTGTGTAAGAGACCTCAATTACCCGATCTCTCAGGAGAAGGGATGAGTGTAGAACAGGGGGAAGAACCGTAAATCCAATCCCTTTTACTTCATCTTGATGCAAAAGGGGATGTCTGAAGCTCATTCATTTTCTTATACAATTTTTCAAACTTCTGTACTATATATCTTCTGAACATAATTCAAACGACATTTTAAGGATCAGTCATGAGTTATGAGCTAATGAGAAAATGTTAGTCTCCTAGTCTCTGTCAGTCTACCAAAGGAGAAACATTATTTTAAAAAGTGGCCGATCACGTGCACGCTTTGAACCTGATATTTTTTTTTTAAATGAGATGGAGAATTACTCGGTTTGAAAGCAAAATTTTATTATGGTTTTAGGGACAAACAACAAACGGGATGGAGGGCGAACACAATAAATAAACCTTAAATAGAAGCATTACTGCAACTTCGTACAACACAAGTTGAATAATTTGGATAAGTAATAACTTAGTGTGCAATTTTATTTCATATCAAAGGACTATGAGTCAAACCCCAGAAGACAGGCAAAAGAGAGGAAGTACAAGATTTTCTAAAGAAGTTAATGTAATTTCTCAGATTTTTAGCATTTTAACTAAGAGTCAAAAGCAAAAGTATTATGAATCCAGTTTCTGTGGCCTGACCCCAGATTTTTAACTTGGAACCAGGGGTGGAAGTTGGGAACCCTCCAAATTACTTACCAACTCAGTGACTGAGATAAGATTAGCTAGAGATTAGTGTGGCGTCCCTGACCAAATCTCCAGTGTACTCTGGGCAGTGGGCAGGGCAGAATTGATCTTACTGGGAGAATCAAAGCAGAGGCTATAGCAAAACATGGAGTTTTTGTCCCATTTGACAAGTTCAGATTAGAAAGTACCTCCAGCATCAAACTGGGGGTGGGTGGGGAACTCTCAAAATTCCCAAAATTCAAACTCAGGGATTATCATCTTCAAAGGAAACTTTCACAATAGTGGACTAGAAAGGAGACTGATTTTTTTTTTTTCTTTTCTTTTATTTTTTTTTGGTTTGTGGGCCATACCCAGCAGTGCTCAGGGCTTATTCCTGGCTCTGTGGTCAATGATTACTGCTGGCAGGCTCCTATGGGGTGCCAGCATTCATTATGGGGGGGGGGGAAACACCGGGGTACCGAGGATCAAACTCAAGTCACCTGCGACATGGTAAACGCCCTACCCGTTATATTCTCTCTCCAGCCCAGAGACTAATTTTTTTTTAACTTGTTTTATTTTATTATTATTATTTTTTTTTGGTTTAGGGCCAGATTCAGAGGTTCTCTGGGGCTACTCCTAGCTCAGAGCTTGAGGGACACTGCTGTCTGTGCTCAGAGGACCGGGTGGTGTTGGGAATCAACCCTGGGCCTCCTGCATGAAGACATGTGTTCAGGCCAGCTGCCTCTGACATGAGCCTCTGCTCTGTAATGGAAATCAGCTTTACCAATGAGAATCCATTAGGAAGTGCAGCACAAGAAGATAAAGGTGAAGATCGAGGAAGAGGAAGCCAAAAGTCAGAAGGCACTGTGGTAAATGGAAGTTAGTATAATGTACAACATGACAGTATCAACTGCAACAAAAGCACAATGACTAGTAATAAGAATAAAATCATCTTCGACAGGGGTTTCAGAGGTTTACTTGCACGATCCTGGAAAATCCACGGGAGCTCAGCAGCAGTTTGCATTGGCTGGAAACGATTATTAAAAAAAAAAAAGACATATTAGAATGCTAAGTGAAAATAAACGCCTCCATTAAAATCATCTCCCGGAAAACATTTGCAATCTTCCCTAAGACGAAGCCACGTTTCTTCAAAGTTTCAAATAATTCTGCTTTAGTGTCAACCAAAGATGCAAAGGTCCACAGACAATAGACAGAAACGACTTCACCAAAACCAATTCGACATTGCACTTGGAAGCAAAGGTATGCTGGAGGAATAATTAGGCTGGCAGGGAGAAAGGGAGGAGAGAAAGTGAGGCAAGATTTCAAGCAAGATAGATGTCACCCGAAGGAGGTTCAAGGATGTAGGGGTGGGGGTGGGGGGGGGGGAGCTGGAAAATTGAGTAGCGGAAAAGGGTGAGAAGGGCTTTTACTTTTTTGTGAAGCGAGATTGTTTTTATTGAATGAAAGTTGCCTCAAAATATATGAGGACAGCAAGAGGGGAACTGTGTTCAAGAGAGAACACTGGCTTCTTCAGATTGGAAACAAGCAAGAAGAGAAATAGACGAACAAGTGCAGTCTGTGTTCAAGGGAGAACGTGGGCTGAAAGAGCAGAGGGCATTTCTATAATGTATGTCCTCAGTTAAAAATGTCTTTTTTTTTTCTTTTTGGGTCACACCCAGCGATGCTCAGGGGTTACTCCTGGCTCATGAACTCAGGAATTACTCCTGGCGGTGCTGGGGGGGACCATATGGGATGCCGGGGATTGAACCCGGGTTGGCTGCGTGCAAGGCAAACACCCTACTCGCTGTACTATCGCTCTGGCCCCAGTTAAAAATTTCTTTTGCAACAGAAAGTATTAACACATGGAAGACTAGCACCTGTGTTGAGTGCTACAATCAAGTCCAAATGAAATGAATACATTTTATTCATTTCCTACCTTCTTTTAACGGGGTCTTAAGGACACAATTTCCTTTCTCATGATTGAAAGCCTTGGAGGGATCAAAGCGTCTGATGCCCAGAACTTTATTTAATTCTTCCTGAAGCTTTGCCTCACTTTGCTTTTTTTTGGCAAGCTGAGAGCGGACTTTTGACAACTCCTATGAAAAAACAAACAATCAAATAAATAAATAAAGATGAAAGCAACTATTAAGGATCACATTGATGAAACCTGTTATAATTATAATGGACATAAGTCCACAGAGGCCCATGCATCAACCTAAGAGTAAAAAAAAATCATCACTCGGAGATACAAACTTATGGCTCTAAATTAAAAAGATGTTTGACCTTCTCAGACAAAGCGCCAAATTCTTTTGCCCTTATTACTGGTCTAAAAAAATTCAGATGAGACACGACTTCCACTACCCAGCCGTCGCCACACTCCAGGACGTTTTCCGGACCCGCGCGGCCGCAAGCGGCCGTGCGACACATCATAAGACACTAAATACCCATCTTCTGGAATTGTCGTACCATATTTGATAGGGTTCAAATATGGTAACACCTACAGGGGTGATTAGAGGTCACCCCAAAAGCCTCTATCCCTCTCGGAAAGACTGGCAAGCTACCGAGAGTATTCCGCCCGCACGGAAGAGCCTGGCAAGCTATCCGCTGTGTATTCGATATGCCAAAACCAGTAACTACAACTGGTCTCATTCACCTGACCCTGAAGGCTTCACCGACATGGCAGCACTGAGAAGGATGAGAAAGGAGAGGCCGACAAAATCTCAAGGCCGACCTAGGCTGCCACAACGAAGGAAGACAAAAATGATCGTCTGTACTTTCAATGCACGTACTCTAGCATCAGATGCATCCATCGAGGACCTGATGGTACAAGTGCGAATGATCAAGTACGACATCATTGGTCTGACCGAGACAAGAAGGCACGAATCTCACCATGCCGTTTTCGACACTGGAGAAGAATTGTTCCTCGGAACATGCGATAAAAGAGGTGTTGGAGGCATCGGTGTCCTTGTCAACACAAACTTGGCCAAGAGCATTGATTCATTCGAATGCCTAACAACCGGAATCGGACGTTTACATTTGAATAGATGTGGCTCACTGCCTGCAGTTTCTATCTTCGTTGTCTACGCACCAACATCTCATTATGATGAAAGAGAAATCGAGAAGTTCTACATGGAGCTAGAGAAGTTCTATAAAGAAGACAACACCTTCTACAAGATCATTGTGGGTGATTTTAATGCCAAGATAGGACCGAGAAGATCAGCTGAAGAACTTCACATCGGGACCCATGGCCTAGAATGGAACGAACAGGGTGAGAGACTGTCAGAGTTCATCATGTCGACCAAGACCATCCATGGTAACTCACAGTTCCAGAAGGCAGAATCTAAACGATGGACATGGGAGTCTCCCGGTGGACGATTCCACAACGAAATAGACCACATCATATTCAATCGACGGTTTTGCCTGACTGATGTCGCTGTTGTCCCAAAATTTCGAACGGGATCGGACCACCGTCTCCTTCGTGCAAAATTCTACTTCACAGAGCGGGGAGAAAGGGCTGCAAAGTTCAAAAAGAGAACTCCCAGAATGACCACCAACTGGGAACTCTTTGGTACTATTGCGGCAACATGGGAAGATGCCATTGTTGACAACATTGACGAGGAATACGATCGACTGGTTCAGCACCTCCATGAATGTGCGAGGAACGCCAAGAGAGAGATAGCCACAAAAAGTCGCCTATCTTCGAAAACTCTTGAGCTAATTCGCCAGCGTGGTTTGGCGCATGCCTCAGGCAACCGCAAGCTAACGTCCGAGCTTGCAAAGCAGTGCAGAGATGCGATCAAGGAAGACCTCAAAGAGAGAAGAGCAGAAGTACTGGTAGATGCGGCAGAAGCCGGGAAAAGTATTCGTAAGGCCCGCCTGTCCTTCGCCAACTATAAGACCAAGATGACTGCCCTCCGACGTCCTGATGGATCCATCACATCCTCCAGAACAGCAATGGAGAAGATTATCCATGACTTCTACTCAAATCTCTTCGATAGCCATGTCCACTTGCCAACATACCAAATTCCACAGGATGGGTATGTCGTTCCCAACGTTCTCCCCTCCGAAATCCGACACGCCATTTCGTCGGTAAAGAAACAAACAGCACCCGGCCCAGACAAGGTCAGACCTGAACACCTGAAGAACCTGCCGTCAGTACTCATCAATACACTGGCTCGGCTCTTCACTCGCTACCTGTCTGAATGCAAGGTTCCGTCCCAATGGAAAACCAGCAGGACCGTACTACTGTTCAAGAAGGGAGACATCCATGACATTGGCAACTATCGCCCGATCTGCCTATTGTCTGTCATCTACAAGTTGTTCACTCGAGTCATCCTGAATAGGATTGGCAGAACACTAGATGAAGGACAACCATGCGAGCAAGCAGGGTTCCGCAAAGGATTCAGCACCATCGACCATATCCACACAATAACCAAGCTCATTGAGGTTTCTCGGGAGTTCAAGATGCCGCTCTGCTTAACGTTCATTGATTTAAAGAAGGCCTTTGATTCTGTTGAGACGGAAGCGGTCATTGAAGCCCTAGACAATCAGGGCATTCAAGCCCAATACATCAGGATCCTCCATGAGCTGTATTGCGGATTCACTACCAGGATCTCACCATTCTACAAAGAAGTGATCGTTGATGTCAAGAGAGGGGTGCGGCAGGGTGATACCATTTCACCGAAACTCTTCAGTGCCACCCTCGAGAACATCATGCGACGACTGGAATGGGAAGGAATGGGAGTGAAGATAGATGGTCGGCAATTACACCACCTCCGCTTTGCTGATGATATTGTTTTAATAACACCAAACATCAGCCAAGCGGCACAAATGCTGGCCGACTTTGACCGTGAGTGTGGAAAGGTAGGACTACAGCTGAATCTTACGAAGACAATGTTTATGAGAAACACCCTTGTTCCTGACGCCCCATTCGCTCTCAATGGAACGACCATCTCCGAATGCAACAGCTATGTCTACCTAGGTCGAGAGGTCAACATGAGAAATGACCTGGCACCCGAGCTGAGCAGGAGGAAGAGAGCGGCTTGGAACGCCTTCAAGAACGTCGAAGAAATAGCTAAGAGGACGAAGAACCTCCGGCTCCGGGCACATCTCTTTGATTCCACTGTTCTTCCTGCATTAACATATGCCTCAGAGACCTGGGCCCTACGCAAACAAGATGAGAACGCCATTCAGGTCTCCCAAAGAAGAATAGAAAGAGCTATGCTTGGAATATCACGTTTCACTCAATTGAGAGAAAGAATCCGGAGTTCTGACATCCGTCGACGATCAAGGATCAGGGACGCTGTCTCATTTGCCAAGGTGTTGAAAATCAGATGGGCTGGTCACGTAATGAGATTTAAAGACGACCGTTGGACTAGAGCTGTTACTGATTGGATTCCACGGGATGTCAAGAGACCGCGTGGTCGCCCACCTACCAGATGGTCAGACTTCTTCCTGAAGATCATGAACGATCGGTTTGAGGCCCTTCATGTTCCCGGAGCGAAGAGATGCCATTGGGCTACACTAGCACGCGACAGGGACAAATGGAGACGTTACTGGCGCCCGCTCGAGCAAATCGACGACTAACGGGAAGTTAAGTGATTAAGTGATTAAGAGAGTTGTGCTCAGGATAAAATGCAGAGACCAACTTCTAGCATGTCAGTCTGAAATGCTCCTGATGTGCTCCCAGGAGAAACTTACTGGGAAAAAAACAAACAAACAAATAAACAAACAAACCAACCAACCAACCACAGAGTCTCTGAAAGTTGATGAGAAAACAACAGTTTAGGAAACGCTACGAACACTGGGCAAAGACAAGAAGAACCTTTGTGACGGGAACCAAGTCCCCTCTCCACACCTGCTCAGGGCATCCAAGGTGCCAAGTCAGATCTTGGTAGCAACCCCAAAGGGCTCCCTCTGGGCCTAGACCCGGGTAGAGACGCTTCTGCCTCTGGCTCCCTGTGGCTGAAGCCAAAGTAGCTGGGGGGGATCCTAATGAGAGAGAAACTCCAGCTGGGGTGCGAGGACACGGCTGCCCCTGGTTCAGGAGCGAACAGAGCCGCCTCCGAGTTACATCCTCGCCCATCCCTTCACGGTCCTTCCTAGTCTGCTTGGCACAGGACTCCTCCAACAAAGGGGCGCCAGAGAAAAAACGGCCACTGTCGGCAGCTCCAGCCCAAGTTCAGGCTCAGAGACCTTGAGCGGACAGAGAAGGTCCATCCCCCGGGACTCGAAAGGTCAGAGGGGCCAGGGAAGGGACAAGCGATTCCAGACACGTGGGCGATGCCTGCTAGAGGAGCACTGGGGAGGAGAACCCCAAGTCAGCACGCAGTCGCTCAGCTCCCACCTCTCCAACACTGGGGTTGGCAGGGAATAGCTCGAAGGAACAGAACCATGAGCCGGGAAGCGGCAGAGCTGATCCTGTGTGGGTCAGAGTGGGGGAAAGCCAGAGCCCCCCAGGCCCCACCTCCCCCGAGGAGCCACAGTAGACAAAACCCACTGGCGAGGATGGGGAAGAAGAATAGATGCCGCCATGGCGGACAAAGACAGAGGCAGGAGCATCCCTAGGAGAGCACTGGACGCAGAGGTGCTCTATAATCCCCTCTGTCCGGGAGTGGAGAGCTTGGACAGGCCTTCACTAGGCCAACCCCGGGCTGACCCCACGCCACCCACCCGGCAGTGGAGACAAGAGAAAGCCCTGAGCACCGCATGGCGCTGTCCCAAAGCCAGATAAGTTTTTTTTTTTTCTTTTTGGGTCACACCCAGAGATGCACAGGGGTTCCTCCTGGCTCTGCACTCAGAAATCACTCCTGGTGGTGCTCGGGGAACCATATGGGATGCTGGGGATCGAACCCCGGTCGGCTGTGTGCAAGACAAACGCCCCACCCACTGTACTATCGCTCCAAGTCCCCCAAAGCCAATTAAGTAAAAGACAAAAATAAATGTGCAGCCTTTGGACATTTACATTTACATTTTTGGTTGGCAGAGCCTGGCAAGCTCCCCCTGGCGTATTCGATATGCCCAAAACAGTAACAATAACGGGTTTCATTCCCCTGACCCTGAAAGAGCCTCCAACAGGGCAGCATTGGGAAGAACGAGTAAGGAGAGGCTGCTAAAATCTCAGGGCTGGGACAAATGGAGACATTACTGGTGCCAATTTGAGCAAATTGATGAACAACGGGAGGACAGTGAAACAGTGATACATTTCTTGGGGGGTGGGTGGGGATGCTGAAATACATCCCTTGGAGGGGGTGGGTTGAATTTCCCTCCCTGACCCGACCAGGGCTCCAGCAGCCGAAGACCTCCAGAATCAGCCACCACCATGCTGAGACCACTCCACACGCATGAAGGTACTGGCAGAGGAACAAAGGCATGTGGGTCCTGGGGCTGAGATCTCCAAGCCTGCTTGGATCGGGGCTGAGCATCCTCCACCCAGATCCTCCAAATTCCAGTAGGCAGGGGTCACACCCATCAACTGGCCCCCTGGAGCCGTGTAATCCCATCAACCAAAGGCCAAGACTCAGAGACTATAAAACCCAGCTCCCGAAAGCGTGCGGCCGCATTTGAGGCAGCTCAACATCTTATCATCTCATTCCTACTTTGGACAAACTGGCAGGCTACCAAATGTAACTTGCCCACATGGCAGAGTGTGGCAAACTCCCCGTGACGTACCCAATATGCCAAATACCAGTAACAATGATGGGTCTCATTCTCCTAACCCTGAAAGAGCCTTGAATATGGCACTTCTTAAAAAAATCTCAGGGCTAGGACGAAGGAGACGTTACTGGGGCCTGCTCAAGGCAATCGACAAACAACAGGATGGTCGTGGGTGGGGAGACATGCCAATGTTCCTTCCTTTTACTTCCCAAAATAGTAGGAAGTCATCACTGAAAACCAAAAGAAAAACACCCTTATCCTGAAACGCTCTGTGGCACTAGGCGTGATGTCACAAACCGATTTGAGCTGGCTGTTTTCATCTTTCAGTTTCACAACATGCTTGATTTTTTGCTTTAGGTTCTGGTGTCCCAGTAATTTAGCGTAGGAATCCCTTAGTTGATTTAGCTGTTCCTGAGCTTCACCGTGTTCGTTCAACAGAGCCTGTTTTTCTGCTTCAAACGCATCCAGTTGTGCCTGGGGGGCGGGAGGAGTGTGTTTAGAAGGACTCTTTCACGCCCCCCACCCTCTCCTTTCTTAAGATTTATTTTTTATTTAAGTATCAGAGTTTACAAAGTTAGTTACAGCTGAGATTCAGGTGTACGATTTCCCATAACTTAGCCCACCCCCCAGTCAACTTCCCTCCACCAATGTCCCCCAGTCTGTCTCTTCGACAGACATTATTTTTGACTGTTTCAGTTTTTGTTGGCTTTTGCTTTGGGGCAACAACCAGTTGTGCTCGAGCGAACTCCCAGCTCTGCACTCAGGGATCACTCTTGGTGGGGCTTGGGGAACCATAGGGGGTACCAGGATTGAGCCCGGGTCTGCTGTGTACAAAGCCTGCCACATCATCTCTCTGGCCGACACACACATTTTTAAGTTTAATTATTGCAGTTTGGACCTCATGCTTTTGGTTTTGTTGGTTCTATGGTTCAGATATATAGTAAAATAAGACCTCGTCACCACCAATGTGTCAGTGGCTCCTGGCCCCTCCTGGCCCTGTTGTTTAGACAGATTTAGAACTAAAGTGAAATTAAAGGAAAAAAAATCAAATTATGCTGATACACGCTTGGGGTTTATCATAAGGTCTTTCTGATACTCTTTAAGAACTAGTTTTGCTTTCACATCAAGGATCATCAAAATTGGGGAAAAACCTGAAAATCAGGGCAGGTAGATGAGCTGGACCAAACATATGCTCACTTCATATTCTAATGGAATCCAGCTTCATTCAAGTCACAACATCAGCAGTTAGCCGTCGAAATTTTAAGATCTATCTATTAATTTGAAAAGCTGTGAGACAGATCATAACAGCTATCACCAATTTACAGAGATAAAACTGATTAGAGATGTACATTCACAGTTATATAAATCAATTTACGTAAATTAATTGAGCAATCATCACAAGTATGTGATCTGCAGAGTTTTCTATTAATTTTAATCACCAGATTAGAAGATAATTATTCTGGCTTCATAGTTTGTTTTTTTTTCTTTTGGCCACCACACCCAGCGGTGCTCAGGGTTTAAGCCTGCCTCTGCATTCCTCCTGGAGGGCGCTTGAGGGACAATTTGGGATGCAGGGGATGGAATCTGGGTCAGCCATGTGTAAGGCAAATGCATTACCTGCTGTGCTATCTTTCTGGGCCAAACCCCCCCCCCTTTTTTTTTTTTTGCTTTTTGGGTCACACCTGGCCATGCGCAGGGGTTACTCCTGGCTTTGCACTCAGGAATTACTTCTGGTGGTGCTTGGGGGACCCTATGGGATGCTGGGAATCGAACCCAGGTCGGCCACATGCAAGGCGAATGCCCTACCCGCTGTGCCACTGCTCCAGCCTCACCACACACCCCCCCCAAATTTTTAACCCGATAAGGACTCTATTTGGAAAGCCAGTGCATAGACATATTACAAAAATGCATGAAACTCCCGCTACAGAAGTCATAGGTCTCTGTACATGTGCAGAAGGATGATGTTTCAGAGAAACTATAGGGGGTTTCCGAAACAGAGACAAGGGCAGTTTTGTCTCTGGACTCACCTGAAAAGGTTTTGTTTTATTAAACAGCTCTTCATAAAGGAGCCGCCACTTATTCATTTCCTCAGTCAATTCCGCTATGAGGCTTTCTTTTCCAGATTTCCTGTAAGGGAAAATTAAATTTAAAAGAAAAAACATGCAGGGGCTAGGACGATAGTACAACAGGTAGGGAGCTGGCCTTGACCTGGGTTCAATTCCTGGCACCAACTCTATATCAGGTATATAGTAAAATTACACCTCTTCACCACCAATATGTCTATGGCCCCTGGCCCTGCTATTTAGAAAGACTTAAAAATTAAGCGAAGTTAAAGGAAAAATTATACTGATACACCCGTGGGGGTTTGCCATAAAGTCTCTCTGACACTTTTTTTTTTTTTCTTTTTGGGTCACACCTGGCGATACACTCAGGAATTACTCCTGGTGGTGCTCAGGGGACCATATGGGATGCTGGGAATCAAACCCGGGCTGGACGCATGCAAGGAAAACACCCTACCAGTTGTGCTATTGCTTCAGCCCCTCTCTCTGACACTCTTAAGAACTTGTTTTTCTTTCACAACAAAGATCATCAAAAGAATGAAACCTGAAAATCAGGCCAGCCATTAGTGATCCCTGAACACTGAGTCAGAAGTAAGCCCTAAGCACCGCTGTTGAGTGTGGCCCCGAAACCAAACATATAAATAAATAAGGGGCTGGAGAGATAGTACAGAGGCTGGCAGTTGGGGTATTGGCCTTGCACATGACCTCAGCTAGCTGCCCACGTGGATTCAAGTCCTAGCAGTCAGATAGTCCCCCAAGCAGGACCAGCAGTGCTTGAGTGCAAAGCCAGGAAGAACACCTGAGCATTTCCAGGTGTGGCCCCAGAGCAAAAACAGAACCAAACCAAAAGTTCGAGAATATTACAATGAAAAATCACATGGAGCCGAGGTCAGAGATCAGAGGTCGACCATTTGAACTGCATGTGGTGTGAGGCTCTAAGTTTGAATCCCACTCACATCCTCCTTTCGAAAACATCACCAACAAAACCCAAACAACAACATGGTCAAGAACAAATCAACAGAACAAAACAAAAAAAATTTTTCAAATAGTAGTTCCAAAGGCACACCCTCTCCCCCCTTGGGCTCTACAGCTGGTTACCTCTCCACGTCTTCCAGCTGTTTCTGAAAATCCTCGGCTTGCTGCTTGAGTTGGTTCTGCAAACCCATTACTGCTGTGTGAGAAGAGGCTTCAATTTGCTTAATCTCTGCCTCCTGAAGGGCCGATTGGTTCTGCAGCTCTAGAAGCCTCCTTGGGTGGGAGAGAACAGCTCACTAGACATTTTGTAGCTGTTAATGCTAGAACTCTTCCAGAAACTCAGATATATATATATATATATATTTTTTTTTTTTTTTTTAAACTGGAGTAAACACTTTCAAAGACCGGGCACTGACACATCATTGGTTTGCACTATAAATGGAATTTGAAGGGTCTGGTGACTCTCCCCTCTGCCCCCAAACTCCCAGTGCTGTTCCACTCTCAAGAAGACCCCTCTGTTCTGTTCATCACTCCCACCCCGTCCTCTTGCCTCTGCTAATGGGTATTTTCACTGAGTCTAAGTAAGAGCCTTGTTCTCCCTCCCCAGTTCTTTTGCTTTAATTATTCGTATATCACTATGAGTGAAACCATTCAAACACCTCTTTCACTTTCTTGCTGATTTCAGGTCACAGAACTATTTCAAGTTACTTCTATTTTGGGTTTTGTTTTTAGGCTCTCTGTTCTTGGAAAATTCCAGGCATTTCTTTTTTGCTTGCTTAGTTTTGTTTCTGGGCCACACCCGTGATGTATTGGTTTTCGGTCACACCCAGAGATGTTCAGGAATCACTCTCGCCATCACTCCTGGGTGCCCAGGGTTAAGCCCAGGTCAGCTGCCTGCAAGGCCAGGGATCCTGCTGGCTGTGCTCTCTCTCTGGACCCTATTTTGGGCTTTTTAATTTGTTTTTGTTTTGAGGACACACCCAGCCGTGCTGAGGGCTTACTCCTGCTCTGTGCTCAGGGATGCTATGCTCCTACGTGTGGTACAGAAGATCCAACCCAGGGGAAACACAAGCAAGGCAGGAGCCTTAACCCCTGTACTGCCTCTACTTCCTCACCAGCCCTTCCTTCTACTTTGTCCCTAGGGGCCCCTCCTTCTACTTTGTCCTCCTTTTGTTATCATGCTGGGCTGGAGCAATAGCACAGCGCATAGGGCGTCTGCCTGGCACGCAGCCAACATGACCAACCCGAGTTTGATTCCTCTGCCCCTCTTGGAGAATCCTGCAAGCTACCGAGAGTATCTCGCCCGCACAGCAAAGCCTGGCAAGCTACCCGTGGCGTATTCGATATGCCAAACACAGTAACAAGTCTCACAATGTTACTGGGCCCGCTCAAGCAAATCGATGAACAACAGGGTGACAGTGACAGTGACATTTATTGTGCTCTATCTCTGTGCTCAGGGCTTGCTCCCTGCGGTGCTCAGGAGAACAGGAGGTGCTGGGGATCGAACCTGGGTCTCTGACACGTAAAGCACATGCTCAGATATATTGAGTCCCCCTTTCTGCTCTGATTTCCTCTTTTTCTCCAAGGCAGAGTTAGCGGCATACTGTCAGGATGCACAATCAACCACCACCAGCCCTACAACTAAAGCTGGCTGGGAGCAACACTCAGTTGGCTGGAGCAGCACGAACTCGCCCAAGTGATGAGAAGGGCGATTACGGGCTGGCACTGATTTCTCCTACACACCTGGCATACTCTTCGTTTGCCTTCTTGGCGGTCGCTATCTCGTGTTGAACATCCTCCACGGTCTTCTCGGCTGCGGCTACTTTCTCCTGCAGGGATGAGTTTTCCAGCTTCAGATCGCTGATCTCACTTGCCGTTGATGCCTTATAGCTTATTAAACAGAAGAAAGAAAAAACAACAACAACAACAACAAAAGAAGTTAAAGCCATTTCCCATCAGTTGTCTCCACAACACATCCAGAGTTGGTTTGCTTCTGTTTTCCTACACTTTTCCGTAAGAGCGGACAGGATCTTTGACTTATCATTTGGATTCAGTGCTGAGGACAGTAAGAAGAGATTGGTGGGGCAGGTGCTGTTTCTTCAGAGAGGGAAGAGAAAGACGTGTGGAGCAACAACTGTGTGAGAGAAAACTCCCAACCCGGCTGGGGAAGGAGCAGGAAGAAGAAACGGGACAAAAGCAGACAGAAACGGAAGACAATAGTGTTATCAGCCCAGGTGTAGCAATGCACTATCAACCCATTGTTCACTGATTTGCACCAGCAGGCCCAGGACCGTCTCCATTGTGAGACTTGTTACTGTTTTTTGGCATATCGAATACGCCTTGGGGAGCTTGCCAGGCTCTGCTCTGCAGGGAGGGTGCAGGCAGGTTACTCTCCGTAGCTTGCCGGGCTCTTCGAGAGGGGCAGAGGAATCGAACCCGGGTCGGCCGGTGCAAGGCAAACACCCGACCCACTGTGCTATCGCTCCAGCCCCAGCCCAGGTGAGTGAGAAAGAAGGGTCGGGCTCAGAAGTGGGCAAGGAAAGATGGGAGCTCTCCTCTGGAGGCAGCCAGAGAGAGACTGGACACCGGGAAAGGGAAAGAACACAGTGAACTCCGAAGATTCAGGGAATGACAAAAATCCCAAAAGCAGAGGCTGGAGTGATGGGGCGCTTGCCGTGCACAATCCCTGGCACCTCGTATGGTCTACGGAGCCCACCAGAAGTAAGCCCTGAGCATCAGCAGGTGTGACGGCGCATCAAGCAAACACAAAAGCATCGATTCAAAGAGATACATGTGGGCCAGAGTGATAGCACAGCGGGGAGGGTGTTTGCCTTGCACGCGGCCAAACCGGGTTCGATTCTCAGCATCCCATAGGGTCTCCTAGCACCGTCAGGAGTAATTCCTGAGTGCAGATCCAGGAGGAACCCCTGAGCAACACTGAGTGTGGCCCAAAAAAGAGCGGAGGAAAAAAAAAAGATACATGTGCCTCTCTGGGCAGCCCCAAGTGGCAGAGCCAGGCTTCAGCGACACCTCGAAGTCCGGTGACAGATGGCTACAGAAGTCGTGCCTTAATGCACACAGCGGGCAGGAAAGATGAGACCTTGGAGTCTGCTGCAACGTGGACGGATCTGGGGGTGGGTCTCAGGCACAGGGAAGCGAGTCAGAGGGAGAAGACTCGTCTGAGCTGGGGCGAGATAAGGAACAGAAGGAGTGAAGAGAAGACCTCAGGGGCTAGCGAGCATTCCATCCTGGGGACGGCGTGCCCCACCTGCGCACACAGGCAAACACGCAAACATGCACACGCCATGCAGGCGCCCACGTAGTCACCTTTGGAACTCGGCCTCCACGCTGTGCTTCTCCTGCAGAAGCCGGGCAGAATCCTCGTGTGATGCCGCGCTCCGCTCCAGCTCAGCTTCCTTCCTAGGGAAACAGAAAGTGCAAAGGACCTGTGGTAACCCAGAGGGGGAGAGGGGGAGAGAAGGAGGGAGAGAGTGAGGGAGGGGAAGAGAGAGAGAAGGAAAGAGAGGGGGGTAGAGTAAGAGAGAAAGAAGGGGTGGGGGGAGGGAGGGAGAGAGAGAGAGAGAGAAAGAGAGAGAGAGAGAGAGAGAGAGAAAGAGAGAGAGAGAGAGAATTCCCTTTCACAAGAGAAACACAGCCATCCCGAACCTTTTCTCTGTGCCCCTGATTAGAGCTTAGCTCTCCAGAGAGTACTTGCTTCTCCCAACAGGTCTATTTATTGGGTTGGTTTATTTTTTATTTCTTTAGTTTTGGGGTCACACCCAGCAGTGCTCAGCGCTTAGTCCTGGCTCAACATTCAAGAGTCACTCCTGTGGGGCTCAGGGGACTGTATGGGATGCCAGGGGTCGAACCCAGGCCGGCTGTGTGCAAGGCAAACGCCCTCCCCACTGCACTGCTGCTAAGGTCCCGCAACTCGCAACTCTTATATCTAATGAAGTAGAAAATAGAAGACCTGTAGAGGGTCTTGCTCAGAATCACACATCTGGTTCATAGACCTAGCGAGAAATCCCCATTTTTAATCTTTGACTTCGGTCTCTGAGTTAGAATCGAGAATCATCTCTAATTGCTTCCTTCTGGAACTTTTAACTTCATCTGTACTAAATTTCTTTTTTCTCTCTTTCCCCTGCCTCCACACTTTGGTTCTTGGGCCACACACTCATAAGCTCGGGGCTTATTCCTGGCTGCATGTGAGCAAGCACCCGACCCACCTTACTATTGCTCCAGACCCCAAAATTTCTAAAAATGCTGGTTTTCTGGGTCTGCTCATAGCGGCTCATAGATTTGATCCTATTCCAAGTTGTGGTATGAAGAACCTTGGTTTCTTTTTATTATTATTATTCATTAGAAAAAGATACAGGATTAGTAATTAAAATATCTGCCGAGATAGAAAGTGGTGTTTCGATTTAAGAAACATCGAGCAATAATACAGGCTCGTGTCTATTGCTTGGTGACTTACTAGAACCTTTTCTTGTAAGGAACCAAGGACTCGAGATGAAAACCCAAAGGTTAAAACGGTAAGACTATTTTATTTGCAACCTGAATGCTACAAGACAGGTATTTTAATTAGGAAAACAGAATGGAGAAGGATGAATATGATGAATTAGAGTTTAAAAAGGAAAAGAAAAAGCATGTAATCTTTTTCCTTCCAGTGGTCAATTTCTCTTTTCAAATGTCTTGCTTCTTTATTGTTATTTTGAAGTGTGCTCCCCCAAACAAAATTAACAACACAGTAACTTACATTACATGGAAATATATTGGCAAGAAAGTTCATTTACTGCCAAAGGCTGTACTTTGTAGCTTTTTTTTTGAAACAAATAGATTTTATTTGGAGGGTTTTTAAGGTGTGGAGGGGGAAAGAGTGAGAGAGAGAGAGAGAGAGAGAGAGAGAGAGAGAGAGAGAGAGAGACAGAGAGACAGAGAAACACACTCAAGAGAGAACACGGGCTTCTCCGAGGGCAGAGAGAGCCCCTACACACATCCCAGCATTAGACACGAAAGCATGAAAGCCCACATCTCAAGAGGGGAGATGCAGGCGACACATGTGCTCGGGCACCACATGTGCTTGGCTACGTGGGCACAAGCAGCACATGGGCTCGGGCAGCATATGCGCCCACTTTGTAGTTTTTGAGGTTCTTTTTCCTCCTCTTCTCTATACCTGTTATTATGATAATGCTCATGATAATTGTTTTAAGAAACCGTCAAGAGCAAAGGGACTTAACATCAGAGCAATAGTACAGCAGGCAGAGCACTTGCTTGCACACAGCTAATAGGGGTTCCATCCCTGGTACCCCATATGGTCTCCCGAGTACTGCCAGGAGGGATCCCTGAGCGTGGAGTCAGGAGTGAGCCTGGAGTATGACGGGTGTGGCCCAAGCCTCATCTTCCCACACACCAAAATAAAAGAGCAGCAAAGGAGGGCCAACTTGGGATTGATCGTTCAAGCTCTCTTCTACTAGGCTTTGGACGCACCCGGATGGTGTTGGCAGCACTCCAGACCCTAGATGGGTCTCTCAATAGAGAGCATCAGCTCCGGCCTTCAATCCCTCCCCAGCACGCAAGAGCTCTTTATTCATTTATTTATGTATTTATTTGCTTTTTGGGTCACACCCGTCGATGCACAGGGGTTACCTCCGGATCATGCACTCAGGAATCACTCCTGGCAGTGCTCGGGGGACCCTATAGGATGCCAGGGATCGAACCAGGGTCGGCTGTGTGCACGGCAAACGTCCTCCCTGCCATGCTATAGCTCCAGCCCCACAAGAGCTCTTTAATTAGCCCACTGGCTTTAGTTGGCTGCATATTTGAGGCTCAAACTTATTCTTAGGCATATTCTGTGTAAGTCCTCTCCCTCTCTGTGTCTGTTCCTCACATCCCCAATCATTCCAACATCATCCATTTGATCTATCAGTCACTGGATAAAAATGAAAGTCGAAGTGAATGAAAAAAAAAAAACAGTTTAGTTGTTTTTTCTTTTTAACATCCAAAGTAAGGGAGTGATACCAGGTCACAAAGACACAAACCCGGGCCACAGTGATAGCACAGCGGGTAGGGCTTTTGCCTTGCACGCGGCCGACCCGGGTTCGATTTCCAGCATCCCATAGGGTTCCCCCAAGCACCTCCAGGAGTAATTCCTGAGTGCAGAGCCAGGAGTAACCCCTGTGCATCGCTGGGTGTGACCCAAAAAGGAAAAACAACAACAACAACAACAACAACAAAGACACAAACCCTTTCAGCTTTTCTTCTAGAAGTTGGAGTTCCGCAGCTCTCGTTCTTATTTCCTCTTCCAGCTGCCCGACGAGCTTTTCAGCCTGTTCCTCCTTTCCTTGTAACGTCTCCAGCTCTTGCAGGGCTTTCTGTAGCTCCTCTTCAAAGAGGCTCCTTTCCTTGGTCATGTCCTCTTGAAAGGCACACAGCTTCTGCTGAAGACTCGAGGACAATTCCTAGAGGCAAACAGAAGTCCCGGACAATTTAAACGTTTCTGCTGCACAGGGAAACCCATGGAACAGCATCAGAGGAAAAAACACAAATGGTACTTGAATAAACCACCTTCTCTTGCTGCAGAAGGGTCCCCATTTGCAATTCTTTCTGCTGTAGTTTTTCATGTTCTTGTTTTTCAAGAACAAGCTTCTCCTTCACATTTTGCAGCTCAGAATTTAGATTTTCTTCTCGTTCTTTAGAGGCACTGACGAGATCTTCTATAAAAGGGAAAACATTAACAATGTTGTAATTAGATGCTATGATCAGTGTGGTGTTGGGTTTTTGTTTTGTTTTGGGGCCACCTCTGGCAGGGCTCAGGGTTTACTCCTGGCGAGCTCGAGGAACCGTACAGAGTGCCGGAGACTGAACCCAGGCTGGCCATGGGCAAGGCAAGTGGCCTGCCTGCTGTACTATCGCTCTGGCCCCTCATACTACCACTAATTTTGAGACCCAATTTATTATATGCCACCGCATAAAATCCCCAAACTGAGTTCTATGTTCCTACCAATTTGTTTGACTTTTGAGCCCTACCCAGCTGTGCTTATGCTCAGGGCTCACTCTTCTCTCTGTGCTCAGGAGTACCAGGTGGTGCCAGGGATCCAACCTGGTTCCTCTGTGTCTAAGACAAATGCTTCACCTTCTGTAACTTCTCTCTGGTTGTTATTCTTACCTTTCATACCATCTTTCTGGTTCTGTTCTTACCAGGAGAAAAATTGCTACCTAATGGACACAACTTGATACAGATAGATGAATTTAACTATATATGTTTATTTTTGTCTTTTGGTGGTGGTGGTGGTGGGGGGGGGTGTCACACTTGGCGATGCTCAGGGGTTGCTCCTGGCCTGCATGCATGAAATTCTCCTGGCAGTGCTCAGGACCATATGGTCACGGTCACGGTCCTCCCATTGTTCATCGATTTGCTCGAGCAGGCCCAGTAACATCTCCATTGTGACACTTGTTACTGTGTTTGGCATATCGAATATGTCACAGGGTGCTTGCAGGCTTTGCCGTGCGGGCGAGATACTCTCGGCAGCTTGTCGGGCTCTCCGAGAGGGGTGGAGAAACTGAACTCGGGTCAGCCGTGTTGGCTGCGTGCAAGGCAAATGCCCTACCGCTGTGCTATCGCTCCAGCCCAGGACCATATAAAATACTGGAAATTGAGACCGGGGCAGCTGCATGCAAACAAAGGCCCTCCCAGCTATAGTATTGCTCCAGCCCCTATATATTAAAGTAAGTAAATTTTAATCTCTAGTGATTAGTATCTATTATAGTATTATAACTCCTAGCTTTCTCATGTTAAGGATTTCTTTTGGTGATTGTTTACATAAGTGCTTTTTAAATGTTCTTTGACACAAAAGCACTAATCCAAAGAGACCTGCACACCCAGGTTCCTGAGAACAGCCAGGACAGGGCTGGAGAGAGCGCACACGGACTAAGGCGCTTGCCTTGCATGCGGCTGACCCGGGTTTGATCTCGGCATCTCATAAAGCCCTCTGAAGACCACCCGGAGTGATTCCTGAGTGCAGAGTCAGGAGGAGTAAGCCATGAGCATGCCCCCAAAACAAACAAAAAGAACAGCCAGGGCATGAAAAAAAACACACAAATGACCTGAGGACCAAGGAGTCGATAAAGCTGTGGCATATACACAAAAAGAATACTATGCAGCCAGGAAGAAAAATGGAATCAAAGGCCCTCCAGGCTATAGTATTGCTCCAGCCCCAGGTGATTCACTGCAACTTGGGCGGGGCTGGTGGGCACTGTGTTCAGTGAAGGCAGGTGGAGAAGGATGAATCCTCTGTGTCTTTACTCATGTCTGGTATACAGAGTAGCAGGGCAAAGGGGTAGAAAGAATCAGTGTCGGCAACCCCCTGGCTCTGGAAGGCAAAAAGGAGCATGTCTGGGAAGATGGGGATTGGGGAGGGAGGAGGAGGAAGAGGGGACTGATGGTAACGGGGACCCTGGCACTGGCTTTGGACACTTGGGCAGTGTAGAGGGGAGGTGACTGGTTATACCAAAATGCTAAGAGCCAACACTATTGTACACATGTACTCCAAACCAGAAGAATTAAATTTTTAAAACAAGTTGAATCAGGAGGCAAGGTATGGGTGTAGGAGGGAAAGCTGGGTTGCCAGTGGAGGGGTTCTGACAGCGGTGGGGGGACCGAAGGTGGAATATTGCATACCAAAAACATTGTAAATCAGGGTTATCTAAATTTTTTTAATTAAGAAATTTTTTAAAAAATTCTTTTCTTCTATATAATTTTTTTTTCCCTTTTTGGTCACACCTGGAGATGCTCAGAGGTTACGCCTGGCTTTGCACTCAGGGATCACTCCTGACAGTGCTCGGGGGACCATCCGGGATGGCGGGGATAGAACCCGGGTCATCCATGTGCAAGGCAAACGCCTTATCTACTGTACGATTGCTCTGTCCTCTATATAACTATGTTTAAAAGCTGTTTTAAGGGGCTTGAGCGATAGCACAGTTGGTAAGGAACTGGCCTTGCACCTGGCCCAGGCTTCACCCCGGGCATCCTATATAGTAACTAACCCGAGCTAGCCAAGAGTGATTCCTGTGCATCACCAGGTATGACGCCAAGAACACAAAAAAGTTGGTTCGTAGAAGTTGGGTTAAGACGCCAACTCAGGGGGCTGGAGCAAGGCTTTGCATGCAGGAAGCTCAGGTCTGATTCCCAACACCACGTGGTCCATTGAGCCCCACCAGGCACAACCCAGGGGTTGCCTTGGGCTCGAGTAGGAGCCCCAGGCATTACCAGGCACGGTAACGCCAAAACCAAAACCAAAACTGGGCCAAAATACGCCCTTAACTTCCTCATAAAGATCATACAGAGCACAGTATTTATCTGAGGAGAGTAAGGGGAGAAAGGTCACGGTATCTTTTTCTATAAAGATCACACAGACCAGAGCACTTATCTGAGGAAAGTAAAGGGAGAAAGGTCACAGTACCTTTTTCTTTCTCAAGCTGCTGGCATCTCGCGTCCAGGTCTTGCACTCGGTTCGACGACAGAACACTCTCTTCCTGAGACTGCCGAAGGCTGGAAACTTCTTGGTTCTTCTCTTCCAGGCGTTCCTCTAACCGGGCTATCTCTAGTTTGTATTTTTCCAGCTGCTCCGAGGCACAGCTGCAAAGAAGCAGATGATCTTAAAAAGCACACAGGGATTTCAACCTGGGGTGGGAGAACGAACAGAAGAGGACGAGACCTGGACACTCGTCGCTCTCCGCTAAGGGTTCGGTTTGAAGCTAGCGTTCACATTACCTAATTTCTTCAATGTATTCTAAGAGGTTTTCGGTTTCAGATTTTTCATCGGTCTTTTCCTTCTCCAGGGAAATGCTAAAAAACAAAACAAAACAAAAAAAGCCCCCCAAAACCCCCCAAAAAACTCATATGCATACATGATAATCACATCAAACGCTTCCTGTATACCAAGTACCGTGCTGTTAGTTCCTCTGACCTTGGCAGTCCACTTTCATATATACAGAGAGGAAACCGGGGTCACAGTTGGAGGTGATGGAAACTACGTTTAGAGTTCTGATGTCAAGAAATGGTCACACGTGGTGGTACTCAGGGGGTCACAGGATGCGGGGACTGGCCCTGAGCTTCCTGCATGCAGAGCACGCACCCCTCCCCCATAAACCATCTTCTTCACTTCAGTTATTTTTCACAGAGAAGGTCCAACCAGCCCAGTCAATCCTTAGACAATGATTCTTAGTAATATCAGTGTGAGAGATAAGCATGATCACGAATTGACCTTTATTGATCTTTTTGAAAAATGGTTGATTTTTGATCATTGATTTGGTGGGGGGGGGTTAATTTACCTTTGTGTTGTAATGATCAATACGTGCCTGCTAATGGGGGCAGGTTGGGGTAGTGGGTGGGAAATTAGGGATACCAGTGGAGAAAAGGTGACAGGGATGGTGGGATTGGTGCTGGTACACTGAATGCCTGAACAACTGTATTATAAACAACTTGATAAATTACGCTGTTACAAAATTTTATAAAAATAACTTGTTCTGGGCCCGGAGTGATAAAACAGCAGGTAAGGTATTTGCTTGGCAGGCAGCTGACCCAGGTTTCAACTCTGACATCTCACATGGTCCCCCAGGAGTAATTCCTGAGTACAGAGCCCGGGGTAACCCCTGAGCATTGCCGGGTGTGGCCCAAAGACCAGAAAAAAAAAAAAAGGTTGTTTTCATTGAAGTGAGGAAACTTTCCAAATATATATTCCGATAAAAGAAGTGTATAAAGGTAAAGGTAAAGGCCCTCCCGTTGATCGTTGATTTGCTCGAGCGGGCCCAGTAACGTCTCCATTGGAGACTTTGTTGTTACTGTGTTTGGCATATTGAATACTCTCGGTAGCTTGCCGGGCTCTCCGAGAGGGGCGGAGGAATCGAACTCGGGTTGGCCATGTTGGCCACTTGTAAGGCGAACGCCCTACCCGCTAATCCAAATGTCAGGTAATTGTTTCTGTAGCTTTCCTGACCTCCCCGCCCACCACCAAACAAAAGTTACTCATACCTTATAACATCTGTGTGTCACAAAGTCTTTATTCCAGACTGCCTTGTAACAATCAAGTATGTTTACCTTTGCCCTCTTTTTAAAAAAATAAATAAATAATTGACTTTGCAAGGGGGCATAGGTCAGAGAGAGAGTATCAGTCAGGAGGGGCAAAGACACTGCTCTGCCTAGAGCTGATGCTGGCTCCATCCCAGACACAGCCAGGTGTGGCCCGAATGTCCCCACCCCTCAAGAGAATTTCCTTTAGAGGGCGAGAGTGATTAAATCATCAGGAAGGCAATGAGGGAAGCAATGAAGAAAGGCGAGAGAATCTCAGGACGTGGAGCACCGAAAGATGAGTCACTCTGAACCAGAACCCTCCCTCGACCTCTCAACCACTCACAGTTTCCCCTCCAGCCCGGTGGCGTCCCCTTGGGATTCGTCCTGGCTCCTCAGAGTGGCCTGCAGCTTTGTCTCCTTGCCCTCCTGCTTAGCAGTCGTGTTCTGGGGAACAGAGAAGCTACCTCAGGGGCGGGCAGCGGCCAAGGCGAACGCTGGCGGCCAGCTGGGGCGGGCATCACTCACCTTCATCTTCGTGTCTCTCTGCGGGCCAACCTTCAGCAGTTCCAGGCTGCAAGCTCCCTTATTCCGTGTTCTGTTTTCAGAAAACTAAGCACAACAGAAAACATCAGGGTTTTAGAAATGATCTCTGCTGAGTCGCTAGGTACAAGCCACTTAAATATTGGGTGTTTTTTTGGGGGGAGGGGGTTTCTTTTTTAAAAACAAACACATTTTATTTTTGGTTTTTTTGGTCACACTCGGTGATGCACAGGGGTTACTCCTGGCTCATGCACTCAGGAATTACCCCTGGTGGTGCCTGGGGGACCATATGGGATGCTGGAAATCGAACCCGGGTCAGCAGCATGAAAGGCAAATGCCCTACCTGCTGTGCTATCACTCCAGCCCCAGGAATTTTCTTTTTTTGACTATTACCAGGGTTATTGATTGCCTGTGAATAAAAATTTTGACCAACACCCAACACCACCCTTGATACTTTGTATGGTGATTTTTCTCATCCCTTTTTCTTTACTGTGACTTCTGGTTTTTTTTTTTTTTAAAGTATTTTAAAGCATAAATTGTCATCACCGCATAATTGTCACATCCTGTTTTTACAGCAATACTGGTACAATCTTTTTTTTTTTTTAAATTTTGGGGGCCACATTTGGCAGTGCTCAGGGTTTATTGCTGGCTCTGTGCTCAGAGATCACTCCTGGAGTCCATATGTAGTGCTGGGGAAATCGAACCAGGGTGAGCACACATGCAAGTTAAGAATCTTAACCTCAGGGCTGGAGAAATAGCACAGCAGGCAGGGTGTTTGCCTTGCACGTGGCCAACCAGGGTTCGATTCCCAGCATCCCATATGGTTCCCTGGGCACTGCCAGGAGTAACCCCTGTGCATCGCCAGGTGTGACCCAAAAAGCAAAAAAAAAAAAAAAAAGAATCTTAACCTGTGTACTATCTATCTGTGCCCCCCCAACCCCAACAAACACACCTGTTTTCTGGGGGGTGGGAGGGAATAATAAGTTTCACATAAAAATTGCAATTCCACTTTCTAGGTTGAAGAAGAAAAAAACTGGCATAAAATCTGTGGTGATGATTAGTTTTGGGTGGGGAGGGGGTTGGGGTGATACCAGCAATGCTCAGGGTTTACTCCTAGCTCCGTGCTCAGGGATCATTTCTGGTGTTGCAGAGGGGAACCTATGAAGTGTCGGGAATCAAACCGGGTTGGCCATGTGCAAGGCAAAAAAGCCTTGAACACTGCTCAGTGTGGCCCCAAACAAACAAACAAACAAACAAACAAAAAACTACTCACCAGTTTGTCAACTGCACATACCAAGTCCATCACTTTATTCGCATCTCATTCCCATCCCCAAAGGATTGGTTGGACATGGAAGTCAGTTATGGGGGCAGTTGTCTTAAGAGACAGCTCTTTAAAGCCCTTTAAAGCAAAATCATCCATGTCTCTTAACGGTCCTACAGTGGGGTGACTTGGAGGATGAAAAGATGTCAGGTGTTAAAAAGTGACTCGCTGATAATGTGCCAGGTACCACAATTAAGACGTCTTACATTAAAAAGTGACTTGCTGGGAGGCCGGAGCCATAATGCAGCAGGTGGGGCACGTGCCTTACATGTAACCAACCCGGGTTCGATCCCCAGCATCCCATATGATTCCCATGCACTGCCAGGAATAATTCCTAAGCGCAGAGCCAGGAGTAACTCCTGAGCATAACTGGGTGTGGCCCCAAAACATAAACAAAACAAAACAAAATTGCTTGTTGATAACCTCTGATATGTCAGGTACCACAATTGAAAAAGAAAAGGAAAAAAAAAAAAAAAAACAAACCAAGGGCTGGAGCAATAGAACAGCGAGTAGGGCGTTGGCCTTGCACACGGCCAATCCGGGTTCGATTCCGAGCATCCCACATGTTCTCCTGAGCACTACCAGGAGTAATTCCTGAGTGCAGAGCAATCCCTGTGCATTGCTGGGTGTGACCCAAAAAGCATAAAACAACAACAACAACAACGCAGCAATAATTCCTATTTGAAGGAGCAGCAGCATGAACTTTTTGGAGGTCATCCTGAACTGTTTGGTACCTGGTACAGCCAGAGGCTGACATTCTCAAGCCAGCAGGTGAGAAAAACACCCCGTGTGTGTTGTTCGTCCAAACGCCGCCACCACAGCGAGGTCCTGTACCTTAGTTTTCAGCTTCTCGTTGATCCTGCTTAACTCAATGAGCTGTTTCTGCTGGGATGCGTTCAAGGCGGACAGAGAGGTTTTCTCCCTGACCTCCGTGCTGAATTTGGCTTCCATCTTCTCCAACTCTGCTTCCAGATCCTGGATCCGCTTGTCCCGCACACTGCGCTCCTGCACCAGGACTCGAATCTGGGTGGGAACAAGAGAGCCCGCGGAGGAGTCGCTGCCGCCCAAGCCAAGACACAGAGGTGCTACCCAGGAGCACCGGAGCTCCCGGAAGAGGGGTTCGGACGTGATGCCCTTCAGGACACTCCAGTTTTGCTGAGTCTCTGAACACTCAGTTCCACCTTATGATACAGCCTTAAAGAGCTATAAGAAGGTGCCAAGGAGACAGAACAGGGAACAGGGGTCTTGAACATGGCAAACCCAGACTGGATCCCAGCAACACAGAGTCCCTTCAGCACTGATGAAGCAATTCCCCAAACACCACAGTGTAAGGCCTAAATACCCCCCGCCCCGCCCCCAAGCATAAAAGGAGATTTTAACAATAATAAATCTGTAGGTATAATCAAACTATTCACTTACAAGATTTTTTTACTTGTAAGAGTTCTTGGGGGGGGGGGGGTGTATTTTGTGGGGAAGTCTAGAGTAATAGTACAGAAGGGTAGAGCATTTGCCTGGCAAGTGGTCAACCCAGGTTTGATTCCTGGCATCCCATATGGTGCCCCGAGCACCACCAAGAGTGACTTCTAGGCACAGAACCAGGAGTAACCCCTGAACATTGCTGAGTGGCCCCCAAACAAAACAATAACAACGACGACAACAACAACAAAAAAGGAGTTATTTTTTTATCCCGAATACAAAAACATACAGTGCAAAATGCAATATATACATATGTATATGAGTTTGTACATTTATACATGTGTATTTGTGTACACACACATATAGACATGCATTGCATTTTAAAAAGAGATCTCAGCCTACACTGCTTTGGGCCCAGTGAACACTGCCGTGTGGAGGTCACTCTGGTGCCAGCTGGGAGGTGAGGGGCCACCGGGTCACAGCACTCAGAGCCTCTCACACGCAAGGCATGGACTCAACCATCTGAGCTACCTCCCTACTCCCAGATACCTTCCTTAATTCAAGAAGGTAGAACTGGGTCTATGCATAGGCTACAACAAGGTAAGCCATTATTTGGTAGCTTTTGCTAGATCGGGCTGGAGCAATAGCACAGCGGGTAGGGCGTTTGCCCTGCATGTGCCCGACCCAAGGTTCAATTCCTCCGTCCTTCTTGGAGAGCCCAGCAAGCTACTGAGAGTATCCCACCTGCACGGTAGAGTCTGGCAAGCTCCCCTGGCATATTCAATATGCTAAAAACAGTAACAAGTCTCACAATGGAAACGCTACTGGTGCCCACTCGAGCAAATCAATGAACAATGGAAGGACTGTGTTACAGTGCTTTACTAGATTAAAAAGAAACTCACTTATTTGCCAATAGAAAATGTAGAAGCTGGGATAGCATCTTTAAAAAGTGGAAATGTGTAAATCTGACAGGAAACTCCCAGTAGAGTGAAAATAGCATTTGTGATATAAAAAGATGAGGAAGGTGAGACATAACATTTTCAAAGAAATGCAGATTTTTCTTTTCTTTTTTTCGTTTTTGGGTCACACCCGGCGATGCTCAGAGGTTACTCCTGGCTTTGCACTCAGGAATCATTCCTGGCAGTGCTTGGGGGACCCTATGGGATGCTGGAAATCGAACCCGGGTCGGCCGTGTGCAAGGTAAACGCCCTACCCGCTGTGCTATTGCTCCAGCCCTGAAATGCAGATTTTTCAGAGAAAAAAAATAGCTACATTTGTAATTGTAAATCTGTACAATCAGGGAGTTCCCCAGGTTGAAGGAAAATGATGCAGATGCTCCCAAGAAAAGCACTTCAAATTTACAGATGTAGGCAGACAATGAGGACTGGAATAGATTTACCATGTAATATTAATCCAAAGGCTGTCTATGGTATGGTTATGTTAGTATCACGTAAAATAGCTGGTAAATTTAAAAAGCAGTATCACTTCTAGGAATATACCCCGGGGGCCCAAAACCACGTAGTAGAAACACCATCTGCACTTCTCCATTCACAATAGCCAGAATTTGGAAATAACTTGAGTGTCCAAGAAGAGACGACTGGATAAAGAAACTATGGTACACAATGGAATACTATGCAGTTGTTAGGAAAAAAATAAACTCATGAAATTTGCTGGTAAATGGATGGACATGGAGAGTATCAAGCTGAGTGAAATGACTCACTAGAGGGACATAGAGTGATGGCGCTCATTTTAGTGATATAAAAACCACAGTATGAGACTATTATCCACGGACAATAGATATGAGGGCAGAAGGACTGGCCCTCGGTTGGAAGCTTGTCACAAGTGGCAGGAAGAGAGCAGTTAGGACAGAGAGGGACCACTATGACAATGACAGCTCGATAAGAATTGAGTGCTGAAATGCTAGGGAGCAAGCCCTGAGCATTGCTGGTGTGGTCCAAACACAAAACAAAATAAATAACAATGACAAAAACACACTTCGGAGTCTAGGCCCAAGAACTAATTTCTGAAGCTAGATGTCAAGTGCAGAGATTTTTATCAGGTTCGCGTAACATCACCACATCCGACAAGTCTGCCTGGATTTCATTCACCCAGCAATGCTCCAGCTGATAAGGCTCTTAGCACATAGACTAGCAGAGAGGACGTATGTGCAAAAATAACTATGAGGACATCTCAGTACTCGATCAGACAGAATTTGCAAGAACCAGCATATCAATTTTTTTCTTTTTTTTGCTTTTTGGGTCATACCCGGCAATGGACAAGAGTTATTCCTGGTTCATGCACTCAGGAATTACTCCTGGCAGTGCTCGAGGGACCAAATGGGATGCTGGGAATTGAACCTAGGTCGGCTGCTTGCAAGGCAAACGCCCTACCTGCTGTGCTATTGCTCCAGCCTCACCAGCATATCAGTTTTTAACTATTCCTTTTTCTTGAAGTGGATTATCTTGCACTGACCCAAAGTCGAGTACAAAGCTGACGTCACTGATTTTAGCTCACAGACAAATCAGACTCAAAGGATCCTTTGAACGTCTAAATGGACAGCCTTGGCTCCTGTTGGTTACTGAGAAGGTACCGGCGTCCTGGTCTCTTCCATCTGTCATTCTCTTTTCAGGATGGGGCATGTTTGTTTTCCAAGACATGGAAAGCATTGCTTACCTCTTTTTTCAACATCTTCAAAGCTTTGTCATTTTTTGGTGACTCCTGCCATTTAAAATAACAAATAAACAAATTGTAGTATCACAAAGATAAGAGCCACACTTGGCTTTTTATGATCATAGAAAATCATTTCCAAAATCAATTTCAACTTTGATACTCAAACAGGGAAAACTGCTCTTTCCGTCTTGAAACATTTTACTGAGTCTATTAAACGTTGTGTGAAAAACGGAGGAAAGGTTTCTTTGATCTGAAAGTATTTTAGGTTCAGAAGCATCCACCCCAAGATATAAGCTTCTTCTCATAAACCCAGTGAAAACAACAGGCACAAATTATAAATAAAGGTGCTGTGTGCCTCCTTTCTAACATTAAACAAAAATGTTTCTTTAAGTTTTTTTTGAGTCACACCTGGCGATGCACAGGGGTTATTACTCCTGGCTCTGCACTCAGGAATTACTCCTGGCGATGCTCAGGGGACCCTATGGGATGCTGGGAATCGAACCTGGGTTGGTTGTGTGCAAGGCAAACGCCCTCCCCGCTGTGCTATCACTCCAGCCCCTGTTTCTGTAGTATTTAATTAGGCCATCTGAGTAAGTAAATAATTTTATAAAGAAAAAATCAATTTCAACTTTGATACCCAAACAGGGAATAAAATGACAGATTTTAAGAAATAAAGAGAAACAACGGAAGCTCTAATTCTACTTCCTTTACCTTTATTCTAAATCTACATCATTTTTATGTTACATCATTTAGATCCAATAGTAGTTAGCACGACAAACACATAATGTCTCTTTTCCATCTCAAAGTGGGAGAAATGCACAAATATTTATTTTCCTTCTAAATTGGGGAAGGAAGTCACTCATCTCAGGTATATTAATTGCTCATCTGAAGGCACTTTCCAGCAATAAAGCCTATGATTTGGGGGAGGAGGGGTGTAATCAAACTAGCACATAATTTGGTTTTCTAAGAAGAATCACACATTCTACAATTCAAAATTTCAGAACTATTTTCTCCAAGAAACTCCAGTCCGTAAGTACATCAATTTCCAAGAAAAGAATGACTATCAGTGTGGCAAATAAAAATAAAAGAATTCAATGCTAATTATATTATAATTCTGGGAAAATAGCATCTTATAAAATAATAACATAATTTTTGGTATGTCTCCCAAATTTTCAGTGTGTTTTACACTTATAGGAATCTCCAGCCAGATGCTCAGTTTTCATGAGAAATAGCTCCATTTAATTCTTATAAACCGTACATATGAGGAAAAAAAAGTTCACAGGCTGAGATATTCTGAAAACAGTTAAAAGAGTTGCAATGAAGTTGAGCCTATAGGTCTATATATACTGTAGCACTGTCCTGTTGTTCAACGATTTGCTCAAGGGGGCACCAGTAATGTCTCCATTATGAGACTTGTTACTGTTTCTGGCATATTGAATAAGCCAGGAGGAGCTTGCCAGGCTCTGCCCTGTAGACAGGATACTGTAGCTTGCCGGGCTCTCAGAGAGGGATGGAGAAACTGAACCCGGGTCAGCCGCGTGCAAGGCAAACGCCCTACCCGCTATGCTGTCGCTCTGCTTTTAAACAATACCATGAATTTTACTCAGAGAGCAGTGACTGGAAAATGAAGTCCACTGTGTAATTCCAAGCACATTCCAATATAATATATTTAGCAGAGATGTTAAGCGTGCTAGAATCCTAATGATAAACTTTCCTTAATCGACAAACTTACAGCCCTCATTGCTATACTGCACTCAAAGTCATCGAAGGCAATACCTTAGCAAACATTTTCAGGGATCCGGGAGAGAAACAAGTTAGAATGAATTCTGGAGTCCTCACCTTTGTTCTCAAAGTCTTAGCCCTTTTTGCAGAAGCAATCAGAGTTGTATCACTGCTGCCACTAAGACTTTGCTGTGATTCTGCAATAAAATAAATCGTACAGATCGTGGTCAAGGCCTACACACTTGAACCACCAATAAAACACAACAAAGCAAATTTTCAAAGTTTTGTTTTTGTTCATCTGGGCCCACACTTGGTGGTCTCAGGAATGGAAATTGAGCCTCCTGTATGCAGAGTTCACATTAATCCTGAATGCTATCTGGCTGGCCCCAATTTCCAAATTTCTTAAAAGTTGGAACTTTTAGTGAATATAAAGTTATTCTTCTTTTAAATTTAATTTATTTATTTTTTAATTTTTATTAGTGAGACATCATGAGGTACAGTTGTAGACTTACAAATTTTTGTGCTTGGGTTTCAGTTATACAATGATCAAATACCCATCCCCCCACCAGTGCCCATTCTCCACCACCATGGATCCCAGTATCCCTCCTACCCCCCATCCCCCCCATCCCACCCTGCCTCTGTGGGAGGGCATTCCCTTTTGTTCCCTCTCTCCTTTTGGGTGTTGTGGTCTGCAAAAGAGGCAATGAGTGGCAATCATGTTTGGTCTAAAGTCTACTTTCAGCATGCTTCTCCCATCCTGGGGGGATCCCCCCAACACCCTTTATTTGGTGCTCCCTTCTCTATCTGAGCTCCCTTTTCCCCTAGCATGTGTGGTTGGCCTCCGAGCCATGGAGTAAAATTCCTGGTACTAATCTCGGCCATTCTTGGGTGTTAGTCTCCTATTTTGTTATTTTATGTTCCCCAGGTGAATGCAATCTTTCTATGTCTATCCCTTATAAAGTTATTCTTAATTGCACATTTCTAAATCATCAGTTGCCCAGTATGTTTCTCACATCTGGCATGTTTTTGATTTTCCTAATAATTCTGACAGAAGTAATTAACAAATGGGAGGTAGTACGTGTTTGTGTGTGTGTGTGTGCGTGTTTCTGGCTTAATTTTCCTGGCATTAGTTTGTGATTCTTTCCTAAACTGAATATGAACGTTTACAATCATAATGTAGTTCGTACAGACATAGAGTTATAATGCCTATGTTCTGCTATAAACCAGTGTTGACTCCATAAAAATAACAATGTAATATAGCTATAGTTCCACACTATAGATAGAAACGCTTCAACTAGAGCATTGCACTTAAATAGCATCACTATTTTATATTTTTATTCCTCCCCCCATTTAAAAATGCATAGAGCCACTCATTTACTTACCAGTTTGCTTTTTAAATCTTTGTGATTTCTGGAAAGATACTGGTCCTTTTACTGCTTCTGAAGTTTTCACATCATAAGCACCTGGAGATGGTGCGCAGCCTAGGAGAACCGTAAGCATTAATATTTTAACGAAAATTACCGATGATCTAAAGACCTGCCATAGGGCCACAGAGACCTCTGCATGCAGGAGACACAAGTGTGACCCCAGCACCACATGATCCCGAAGACTGTATCTCAACTGATTGGGTCAAAATCCAGCGTGTGCATTTACCAGATATTTGGGAAACTCTGGTGCTGGCTCGCTTATCTGCTCTATGGATTTTTCCTTTAGTAACACATGAAGTGAAAATAAGTGCATTACTTCCCAGAGTTGGCATCTTAAGAGATTTAGGGAGAGGCATCATCAGAAGGAATGGGTAATCTTGGAAGACACCATAAGCTTTCTGGGACAACAGATATCTTGGCCAGCAAAGACTGGCTGATTCATAACTCACAAAACACAGATGCAAAGACAGTATCTTACAGTGTGGTTAAGATTGCTAAAGTAAATGCGAAATCGCTAAAGTGCCTCATATACACATGATAGGGCCACAGCAAAAGTACAGTAGGTGGGGTGTTGCCTTGCACACGCTGACCCTCGGCATCCCATATGGTTAATCGAACATCATGAGGAATGAATCCTGAGCAAAGAGCCAGGAATTAAGGCCTGAACACAGCCAGTGTTTTCCAAAATAAATAAAATAATCCAAAATATTTATTTATTTTATTTTGCTTTTTGGGTCACACCGAGTGATGCTCAGGGGTTACTCCTGGCAGTGCTTGGGGGACCATATGGGATGCTGGGAATCGAACCCGGGTCGGCTGCGTACAAGGCAAACGCCCTACCCGCTGTGCTATTGCTCCAGCCCCCAAGATATTTATTTTAGTTAAATAAACAAACACCCAAAAGGACAGTCATTTCCATTGCTCAAACAGTGAGCCTAAAATGCCATATGGGAAAACTCAGTCTAATCTAAGTAGAAAGCAAACAAGCCCACCAACCCCCTCGTTGCAAACATGCACTTCTGAGAAATCTGGGAAATCATATGGGGGTTGATACTCTGAATCAGGAAGAGCTTAAGCAAATCCTTTCTCACGTGGCCTCTTTCCTTAGAGAACAGAGTGGTGCACACCATGTGCAGGCCAACAAACGAAACAGTGACTAGCAGGTGACATTCTGAAATGGCACACAATAAATGAAAAATTCACTGGCTTGGAAGCTGGGCTCCAACAAGGGTGGCTGCTCGGACAGTTACAAAAGCCAGCAGCCCTCACCAGCCCAGGGAAAAAATAAACAAGTCCCAGCTGGGCACTCCCCCAGCACCTCCTGGGGGATACCTCAGTGCCAATGAGCCACCTGCAGGAGGTCCTAGTTACTGCGTCCATGCCAAGTGCTCAGGACTAGAGGCCTATTTCCCAGCAGTTCGAGCCCCTGGTCCACCAATTTGGGCCAGGACTGTGACAATGACCAAATTTAAGTCTGAATCTTTTTTTATCAGAATAAGGATCATAGGAGATGCTGAACATCAATTGATTCCAGGAGAATGAACCGATGAAGTGGGCCCGGGTCTCGTCCTCTATAAAGGGGGCATATAAGAGCTGCTCCGGAGATGCCCACCCTAGCTCTGTGCCCCGTACGCACCAGAAGGGTCATTGAATCGCTTCAGAGGAGCCTTTGAAAAGGACATGCTGACGCCCAGCTGCACAAATGAAAGGCCACGAGAGCTCCTCCGCAACAGCCAGCCGCCGCCGACCACTTAATTGCTTTCAATTTAAATCTTCCCGCTCGTTCCCCGCCCACCCGGTGTTAGCCAATGGGAGGCCCGGAGCCCCTCACGTGCCACCGGCATCTTAGCCGCGTTCCAATCAGGCGGCCCGCGGGTTTAAGCCACCAGCCAATAGGAGACTAGCTCTCTTCAGCCTGGCCAATCCCGAATGGAATTATTCCATGGGCGAGGGAGAGGCGGGGCGGAGTAACAGCCTCTGCGCAGGCGCACTTCACCTGGGTCGTTTTCCGACACTTTCCCCCGCCCTCCCCACCACCACCACGACGGTGTCATAGAAGTGGCCGCCGCGCTGGGAGGTCCCTCTTTTCTGGTTCAAACCCTCTCCCACCGGTGTCTTGCAAGGAGCCTTCTCCGAGCTCCAATGCTCTCACACTAGGCGCTGCTAGCGTCTTGATAAGGGCACACAAAGTGGCAGTGGCGGGGGGGGGGGGGGTGAACTTCCGCTCCACGACGCCCTACTGCGCATGTGCGGTGACCCGGAGCAACGAGGCCGGGGCGTGGCCTAGGCGGGCTCGGCGCATGCGCCCTGCTTGCCCGGTTCGGCGAGGGGCGGGGCGCGGCGGCGGAGGCGGCGGTGGCGCGGCGAGGGGACTATGTCGGCCCCGTTTGAGGAGCGCAGCGGGGTGGTTCCGTGCGGGACGCCGTGGGGCCAGTGGTACCAGACCTTGGAGGAGGTGTTCATCGAAGTGCAGGTGCCGCCCGGCACTCGCGCCCAGGACATCCAGTGCGGCCTGCAGAGCCGGCATGTGGCCCTGGCCGTGGGGGGCCGCGAGATCCTGAAGGTAGCAGGGGCTCGGGGGGTGGGGGGCGGCTTTGCTTGCACAGCTCGGGGGGTGTCGGTCTCCCAGGACCCTGCGGCTCCCCTGGTGCCCAGAGAGGAAGGATAAACCCGGGCTGCAAGGGGAAACCCAAAGGCCAATCCTAAATTGGAGCCCCCCCCCACTTTCTCTATTTTTCTCTCCCTCCCCCTGTTTTATTTGGGGAGGGGGTCGCACATCTTGCAATGCGCTGGGTTTTTCTCCTGGCTCTGCACTCAAGGGTCACTCCTGTCCGGGGCTCCAGGGTCCATAGGGGGTGCCGGGTTGTCCTCGGCGTGCAGAGCAGACCACAAAGTGAGCAAGTGATTTCTTAGACGTTACTATAATGATCCCATTGATTGGTTTTGTAAAATAAAATTTTATTGACTAGTATAATTTTCTATGATCCTTCCGTTTCTTAGTTCACATTTTCCCCACCCGCTGGACTGTCTGTCTCTCCAGCCCCTCTTTGCTAGTTGTTTTTATAAGTCAAATGAAACGCCTGTTTTTTTTGGGGGGGTGGGGATAATTCTCCCTCTGCGGGTCTTGGGCTGATAACAGATCATCTAGAGATGGTTCAAAGGAACAAGTTCTTGCAGTAAGGTTTGGGGTCCTGCACCCAGAGAGTTTCTGTTGTGGGCAGCCCCGATGGGACAGCAGGGAGAGAGAGGTGGCAGGACAAAGCAACAACCTAATGCAGGAGAGGAGAGGCGGATGCAGAGATGTTGGGACACAAAGGTCTCCAAAGTTGCCATATTATTTGTGGAGTGCCAGGTGCCCCCCGTTTTTAGCTCCTTCAATACTGATAGACAGTTCCCACGTGGATCCGGGACCCTCTCTTTCTCCCCAGTGGCTCCGAGTTTAGCCTCCAGTTCAATGCATTTAGCGAGGTTGGAAGATTAAGATTTCCTTCTCAGATGCTGCCCCTGACAGCATCACTTAGTGGTGGAGGAAGCGAACCTGGGCTCTGCGGGTCGATTTTCTGGTTTTATTTCCCTCCGGGTATGAGTTCCATCCATCAGCGCATGCACACGGTGCTGTTGTGTGGGTGCCAGGCTCAGGAGGGCATCCTGGGAGCATCTTGGGATGCAGATGCAGAGCAGAGGATGATACCTGCGTGCTGTTGAGTACCACTCCCTTTGCACAAGTCAGGAACTGTGTGAAAGGCGCTGATGGCCCTTTCATGCGAGACTTGACCCTGTTTCCCAGCTACTTGGGCAGTTTGCATTTCTCCTGGGCAGTGATTTAAGATTATAGTTCAGTTGTAAGTCAGACTGGGAATTGAGCAATAGCTGGAGTCGTCAACGGGTAGATTTAAACCCGTAGGTATTTCTCTCCTTCCTCCCCCCCACTCCCACCACTTGTATTGGCAGTTTTAAAACATGTGGTTTCTCTTTATATACCTGGAATTCTCGTTTTCTGAAACATAAATGTAAAAGTAGCAACAGATCAAACTGAAGAGTTTCTCGGAATTCAGTCATAAGTAATCTGACATTTTGTATGGTCTGTACTACTTAAACGCCATTTGTTCAACTGAAAGAAGTTAGTGTTTCTAAGTTTATTCTAAAGACTTTTTTTTAAAGTAGTTCACTTTATTTTTTTTTTAGCAGTTCACTTGAATTGGTAAAGCATTTCATAGTACTTTTGTGTTTGTTTAATCAATGATGACTTTCTTCATCTTCTGAAAATTAAGGAGCCCTGATGTTTATTTTTTAAAATTTTTTTCTTATATTTATTTATTGAATCACTGTGGGAAAAGTTACTAAGCTTTTAGGTTTAAGTCTCGGTCATACATTGATCAAACACCTCTCCCATCACCAGTACTCATTTTTCACCACCAAGAACCCCAATATACCTTCCTCCCACCCCTCCCAATGCCTGTGAGGCAGATGATTTCCACTTAACTCTTCTCTACATTGATTACATTCATTGTTTCTACAAAAGATGCACCATTATTGTTTAGAATTTCCCCTGATGTTTGTTTAGAGAACCCTGCGCATTTTTTCATAGTAAATATTCCAAGTAAATTAAGCTTTGTTTTATTTGCTAGATGAAAACTCAGGGTTGAACACCGATTAATGGTAATGGGCTAAAATTTGAATCCCCATACACTTAACCACATCAGACAATTGTATGTAGGCAGGTAGGAACTTAGATACCATGGAAATCATGGAAAGTATAAAACTTATCAAAATTCTCTGTGTTTGTTTTGCAGGGTAAACTCTTTGATTCTACCATAGCTGATGAAGGAACGTGGACGTTGGGTAAGAATATTTTATTAAAACGTACGGATTTTTTTTATGTTGCTGTTGAAGGTGCACATGTTTATAATTCTATATTATCCTATGCAATGGGCTGGATCAGTAGCACAGCTGGTAGGACGTTTGCCTTGCACTTGGCTGACCGGGCCGATCCGAGTTCAATTCCTCTACCCCTCTCAGAGAGTGCCCAGCAAGCGGCTGAGAGTATCTCGCCCGCACTGCAAAGCCTGGCAAGCTCCCCATGACGTATTCGATATGCCAAACACAGTAACAGGTCTCACAATGTTACTGGGCCTGCTCAAGCAAATTGATGAACAACAAAAGGATAGTGACAGTGATCCTATGCAATGTTAATTTCTAAAAGTTAATTTCATCTTCATTTACAGATGACCCCCTTTTTGTGAGGGTGGGGGGAATCTCACCCAGCATGTTCAAGGGTTCCCCTAACTTCCTCTTCATCAGACCTGGGTCAGCCATGTGCAAAGCAAGCACTCTCCCCTCTGCACCATCTCTTCTGCCCGGATGATTCCTTTTACCCATAGAATATTTTTTAAACTTCGATTTATTTTGAAACTTAGTATATCCCCACCTTGTTGTATAAGCCGGGAACATCTAATGGACAATGCAGTAATAGAATTACGTTGAAAACAATTACTTGTGAAGATGAACTGTTTTTAATGTGAATTTTAATGATGCTTCACATTATATGATGATTTCATAATTTGTAGGTTTCTTTTTCCCTCCCAGAGGACAGAAAAATGGTCCGGATTGTTCTTACGAAGACAAAGAGAGATGCAGCAAATTGTTGGACTTCTCTTTTAGAATCTGAATACGCAGCTGACCCTTGGGTCCAAGACCAGATGCAGAGGAAACTTACGCTCGAGAGGTTCCAGAAAGAGGTAATGCATTATCCAAAGTGCTTAGCATAGTTATTATTAAAAATTAAAACTCAACTACTGTGGGGTAGGGATCAATTCCAGTCTCTCTCATGTACCCTGTCCAGTTTGTCATGACATCTTAATGGCACTGCTTCCAAATACATTCAGAGTTTCACCTCTTCTGTCCTCCAGCTCTGCTGCCACTCTAGACCTGGAACCCCTAGAGTACTAGTCCATTTGCTTTCTGGTTTTTCTCTTTACTTCTGTCAAGCTAGTCTTCTCAAAAACCAACTTTTAACATGGAGTCACTGGCAGTCTAGTGTCTAGTGATCGAATCTGCACCACTGACTATTGTGGAAGTAAAGTTGTACTGGAGCACTGGTAAGGCCACTCCTTTGTGTATTGTCTTCCCTGTAGGAATGGTAGACTTTTTTTTTGGGGGGGGGGGGGGTCACACCCAGCAAGGCACAGGGGTTATTCCCGGCTCGTGCACTCAGGAATTACTTCTGGCGGTGCTTGGGGGACCCTGTTGGATGCTGGGAATCAAACACGTCAGCCGCGTGCAAGGCAAACGCCCTAATGGCTGTGCTATTGCCCCAGCCCCAGGAATGGTAGACTTTTGAAGGCCTGAGTGATAGTACAAGTTGAGATGGCGCCTGCCTTGCTCCCGGCTGACCCTGATTCAATCTCCAGCATCCCTTATAGTCCCCTGAGCACTGCCAGGAATAATTCCTAAGTCCAGTGCTAGGAGTAACCCAGAGTTTCGCTGGGTGGGTGACCCAAGAAACAAACAAATAGCAGAATTTAGTCATTCAGATTGTATGATCTATAAAGCCTCAAACTAGGCTCTTTATAGAAATGTTTCCTAACCAGGGCTCCAATAACTTAGTACAAGTCTTATTAATTACTTATACCTATTAAGAGTGGAAACTACTTGAGCTGGGATCTTTCTCAGTTTTAAATTCCATGTGACTCTAGTGGTGCCTTCCAAACAGTAGGAGTTCAGTAAATGTTTGCTGAATAGATGAAAATGCCCTCCCAAAAGACTATAGCCTGAGTGAGGTATACCTTAGAGATTGCCAGAACCCTGCCAGGCAGATTGTAGCACGTATAAAACGCTTGTTACATCTTCTTATACATTGATACTAAAGTGTGTTTGCTATTGCAGGCATTGTATGCCAGGATTGTCATGCATGGAGATAGAGTAAATATTTGTAAATACTAAATAGGAATAATTCCTTATGGTTTTAAATTATATTTTGCTGACCATAGAAAGTTTGGTTCCTTTCATATTTTTGTCATTCTTATGCACATTTTGACTTGGTATCTTTTTATCATGTTCTTCGGGGTCATCTGCTTTACTCTATAATGCTTTTTCTTTCTTTCTTTTTTTTTTTTTAGAATCCTGGTTTTGACTTCAGTGGAGCAGAAATCTCAGGAAACTACTCTAAAGGTGGACCAGATTTCTCAAATCTTGAGAAATAACCATCACTCATATTTTTATTTTTTAATTTTTTTTTTTGCTGCATTATGTGGAACCTAGCATAATTTGCCACTTTAATCAAAGGAACAGATTGTGTGATGGAAGAAAAATGTAGAAAATGTAGATGCCTACAGTTAACAAATTTGCAAAATATATTTAAATATGGTTTCTGAAATTGCATTCAAATATGATTTACATGGAAAACATTGTGAATACTGTGGTGACTACTTTATTAATATATAATAACATTTTTTGGACTTAATTTTGCTCAGCGTGAGGTTTTCTATGTTGTATTTTACTAATTTCATATTTAACTTGTATTTTTAATACGAAAAAAATATTAGGGTATATGTCATGTGAAATAACAGGGTGCCTTCAGGGAAAATTGAATTTTTCTTTCAATAAGTGTGACAGGGATATGTTCAATAAACTTTTCTAAATAGGAATTGTGTAACCTTTTGTCTAGTTTACCAATTTACCTGAGAAAATTCTATTACTAAGCAAAAATTAGAAAAGGCAAAGACAGTCCACAAATACATTCTGAATAAGTCCATTTTTTTCAATAAGAATTTCTTAGTTTATTATTCCTTCAGGGATTACTTTGCCAGGAGACTCTGTTGAAAAACACTAATACTTTTTTTATGTCTTTAGTTAAAAAAAAATGTAAATGTGTAGAAAATTACAAGTGCGCAGAATTCCCTTCCTGGAACATTTGCGTACAAGTATGTATTTCCTTCAGAGAACGTTCTCGTGCCCACCTACATGATCTTTACCTAGTTGACATTCTTCATCTCTAAGTTCCTACTTAGCTCCGTTTTTTGTTAGTGGATTTAGCTGTTCCCAAAAGCTTCTGTCTTTGTTCATTTACTGATGGGCTTTTCCTTTGCATTGTTAATGCCAGTGGATTATACCAACTTGTTTTAATAATTTGAATCAGCTTATATCTCCCCAAATCTGAAACTGGATCACAGTTTATATATCTCAATTTATTTGTAGAGGATTTTTGTGACTTGATTTGAAATATCAGCCCGTGGTTGTTTTCTATTTGTGTTTTTTTTTTTTTTTTTTTTTGCTTTTTGGGTCACACCCAGCAGTCTTTAGGGGTTACTCCCGCTCTACACTCAGGAGTTACTCCTGTTGGTGCTCGGAGAACCATCTGGGGTGCTGGATATTGAACCCAGGCCCGCCATGTGCAGAGCACATACCCAACCCGCTGTGCTATTGTTCCGGCTCCCTTTTCTTGTTTGTTTTGATCTTGGTTTGTCATCAGTGTTACTAATTGGGATGAGGTATTTTTGTTTTGTGGAATTTGCCAATAAGATTTTAAACAAATGGAGCCAGAGAGCTAATGTAGGTGTTTAGGCTCTTACCCTTGCATGCCGCAGACCCCAGGTACTGCATGGGTCAGGAGAGCTGTGACATCCCCCTCCCCCCCCAAAAAAAAAAAAAAAACCACACCTAGGTGTAGCCCAGCACACTCCTGTCCCAAAAGAAGTCCACTTTGTTCTTTTTTATTTGCAATTTTCTTTATTTTCCACATAGAAGCCATGCCTAAATTGTAGTGACTTTTTTTTTATTAAGTAAATTCTTTAGTTAATTATTTTTTTATTAGTGAAACACCATGAGGTAGTTATAGACTTATAAATTTTTGTGCTTGGGTTTCAGTTATACAATGATCAAGTACCCATCCCTTCACCACCAGAGCCCATTTTCTGCCACCATGGGTCCCAGCATCCCTCCCCCCCTACCCCCCCCCCCGTCCCCCCACCCTGCCTCTGTGGCAGGGCATTCCGTTTTGTTCTCTCTCTCTCCTTTTGGGTCCTGTGGTTTGCAAAAAAGGCATTGAGTGGCAATCATGTTTGGTCCATAGTCTCCTTTTAGCATGCTTCTCCCATCCTGGGACGATCCTCCCAACACCCTTTATTTGGTGCTCCCTTCTCTATCTGAGCTGCCTTTTCCCCTAGCACGTGTGACTGGCCTCCAAGTCATGGAGCAAAATTCCTGGTACTAATCTCGGCCACTCCTGGGTGTTAGTCTCCCATTTTGTTACCTTATGTTCCCCAGATGAATGCAGTCTTTCTGTGTCTGTAAAAGAAGTCCACTTTTAAAAATTATTACAGAGCTTCACTTACCTAGCTCTGTGCATAGACTTCTTTTATGGTATATTTGTTATTCTCTTAATCACGTTAGTTTGAAATTGTTTAGTTTGGAATTGTCCTTTTTCATTCCTACGACTGGTTGTTTTTGTCTTTTTCACTCTTTTTTACAAGTTTATCAAGTTTATTGGTCTCTTCAAGGATATGGGTTGGTTTTCTTGATTTTTCTCTATTATTAAACAGATTTCACTGATTTCCACTCCCAACCTTCTAAAAATACTGTATTCCTTCTGCTAGTTTTGCTGCTACTGCTTAAAGTGGAAGCATAGGTTTGAGACCTTTTTGCCCTGCATGAAACATTGAAGTTTGAGATACACACACAGACACACACACACACACACACACACACACACACACACACACACACACACTTTCAGTAGTAGAGCAAATGTTGGAGGGCCTGGAGTCTATCCCGGCACTAAAAAAAACCCTCACAAAAAGCCTCAGCTGAACTGAGATGGTTCGAAGCACTTGGAACCTATGATTTACACACAAGAGGCCTGGGTTTGATCCCTGGAACCATGGTACTGCCAGTAGTTACCCATGAACACTGCTTAAATGTAGCCTCAAACCCCTTCAGTATTTTTTTTTAATTGTTTTATCCAAAAAAGGTTTCTATTGTGAATTAACCTTCTAGGAACTGAACTAGCTGCATCTTACAATTCAGCATTTTTATTCTATTCAATAACTTTTTCTGCCTCCTAGAGCCATGACATAATTAGCAGAAGTCTTAGAGTTTAATTTCCAAGTCCCTTGGAGAGTTCCTGTTTCCTGCTATTAATTTCTGATTCATGGTCAGAAATCATTGCGTGATTTCAGTTCTTTTAAATGCCTTAAGGTTTCACAGTCTGGGATGTGGTTGGGCTTAGTGATCATTCCCTGTGCAGGTGATGACCCCACTGTTAGCTTTTTATTATCTGCATCCTTACTAATATCTTAATTCTTGAATTTACTAAGAGGAAGACGTAAATCTCCTACTATCATTGAACTGTTCCCTGCTGCTTCTTTTAGTTCTGTCAGTTACGCTCTTTGTGTTTTTAGATTTGAGATGTTAGGTGGCATTTGTATTTATATTTCGGATTGTCTGTCTTGGTGAATTATTTTATCATTTAATGCCCTTTGCTACCTCCGGTTATTTTTATTGCTCTTAAATCCTCTTTGTTGAACTAATATAGCAATAAAAAGCTCATTTTATATATTATTCATACAGGGTAAATAATTATTGAGGGTAACATTTTTTACGGTCACCCATTGTAAGGCTTGTCCTCTAAGACTGAACCATATCTCTGGCCCAGAATGTCGTTTCGACTGGTGATCACACAATTTCATGCTCTGTATCTTCTGTATAGGGAGGTAATACGCACTGGTTAAGAGCATAGCCTTTGGGGGCTGGAGCAGTAGTATGTCGGGTATGGTGCTTGCTTTGCACGTGACCGACCCGAGTTTGGTCCCTGGCACCATAGGGTCCTGTGAACACCACCAGGAGTTATCCATGAGCACAGAGCCGGGAGTCACCCCCTGGAAACTGCTGGGTATGACCCGAAAAATTAATGAGAGAGTATATAGCTTTGTTATAGCGCTTGGTTTGGAATACCGTAAGTGCCAGGTTTTGACCTGCAGCTGATCAGTTAATAAACAGGGATAATGTCAGTTTGAAGATAATTTATTATATGAGATGCTTCATAGAAAACATTTGACATCAGAAGCTTAAGAAGATTTGTTATGTAATAAGTGAGCTATTAGTGTATTACATAACTAGAAATACATACCCATTTGGGGGCTCTTTTTATTTTATTTTTTTTTTTTGCTTTTTTGGGTCACACCCGGCGATGCTTAGGGGTTACTCCTGGCTCATGCACTCAGGAATCACTCCTGGCGGTGCTCGGGGGACCATATAGGATGCTGGGAATCGAACCTGTGTTGGCCATGTTGGCTGTGTGCAAGGCAAACGCCCTACCCGCTGTACTACCGCTCCAGTCCCTGGGGTCTCTTTTTAAAAATAACCCATGGGCACTGGAGAGATCGCTCAACAGTTTGAGTGCCTGCATGGCATGCAGGAGGCCTGGGTTCTGTGCACAGCACTGTATGGTCCCCTGGGCCCTGCCAGAAGCTACCCCTACGCACAGAGACTGGGCTGGCACCCAAGGATAGCCGGCTGTGCCCCGCCTCACCTGCAAAAAACAACCAAAAACACCAAAATATAACCTGAAGAGGGTCACTAATTTTATCTAGTTTGGGTCTAATGCAAAGAAACCTTTTGTAAGTTTTTCTGTCAGTCATTGCTTTGCAGTATCTGCCTTGCTACATTAAACATGAATAGTTCAAACTTTCAGTTCTAACTACTGAATTAGATTGACAAAACAGGCGGATACGATGTTTTATAACCTGGTAGTGTTCAGCCAGTCAGTAAAGATGATTTGCAAAGAACTTCAGTTGGGTTGACTGGCTCAGAGGGTGAATCTGCTTGGTATGCCCATGGCAGTGATGGGTCTAAACAACAGGAGTGATCAATAGTGCATCGACACCTGCTTTTTAGTGCACACTAAGCACATTTAATTATCACCTCATGTCTACTTAAAAATAAAGCAATTAGTTAAGGTATCCCTTAGGTAATAACCATGTCACTGAAAGAGATTTAATTTCTGCTACCATGGTATCTGATAAGCTAAATTCAATGGAGAGCAATCATTTTTCATCTTGGTTCTGGCATATTGCCAAGAATTAATTCAATCGGAAAAGAAAGAAAACCGCTCAGCAATGGAATGCATTTCAATAATTTTATTGAAAGGTAGACGCCTTAGTACCAAAAACACAATGGTAGTTGGTTAAAGTTACTGCTGCTGACTCAAAATTAGCCCTGTTGGAGTCCAAATATTGAAATACATGAACCTCTTGGGAAAACTGAAAAGTCACCCACAGAACATGGTTTGACAACAGTCATAAGCTATACTGTGGTTCTTTGGTTTTTGTGTTTTTCTTGCCAGTGCATATTTATCCATAACATGACGTCAAAACTGGTTACAGACAGTGTGTGTGGCTATCCCTGGCAGTAAGTAGCAGTCTGCAATGCTTGTAACACTGTCCACCTCCTTCTATCCACTGACCTATTAGAATACTACCTCAGTAACCCTATCATCAGGAAAATGCCTCTTCTCTTAAAATCATTTTGGCACAATAGCGGCAGTTAGTGAAAGTATATTCCCTATTAATCAAAATTCTAAATTCGAAGCAATGAAAGAGTTTTCTTTAAAAAACTTCAGCAAAAACTTCCGGAGTGTTATTA